GTTGCTACCTAGTATGTTAAACAGTAAATAAATAGAAAAAAACAAACACACCACAAAATATTATAAACAAGTATGTTTTTCTAGTCTTTTTTCTAATTAATTTTGATAATAAGTATAAATCTTAATTAGAATATCTATATACATTCTCTGTTAGGCCTGTAGTCAGACAGCTTTTCAGATTTTGAAATAGGTGTGGTAGGTAGGTACTTGTTGAAAATGCTAATAAATAAAAATAAGATATTGTATTTGAAATATTGGTTTTAAAATATGTTTCTTTTTATTTCTCTTACAATGACCATAGATAGGCAGACCATTGACATAGTATAAAGAACAAAGTAGGTTATCTTCATACAAATGCTCCGCGCGCGGCTTATATGTGTGCGCCATAGTATCTATGCGTCGACGCACGCACACTTTAACAAAATCTCGACCCGTTTCTCAGTGCGCCAGGCAGGGCTGACACTGTACGAGGTTCGCGCGCGCTTCACGGCTTTTCGGCACTGTTCAATGAAATAAAAAATGTCTGATAATCGTAGAAGAACGTATTGCTGTGTGTTTGGGTGTCTTAATAATTAATCGATTCCAGAACTGTCTCTGTTCAGATTAGGTACCTATTGAACAGGAAAGGTAAGCTAGTCACTTTTTCTAGCATAATATAATTTGTAGGTACTTGATGATGAGATACCTACTTACTTATTCTTAGGTACTCTTATCATTCTTCATAGTTCCTACTCAACCAGAAATGTAATTACCTACTATACCTAAATATTATTAAAAAATGTGGTATTGTATTGTTTATTTCACAGTTTATCTGATTTGTTAAGAGCGTAGCCGAGTCGCATTTTTCCATATAAATGTATTCCCAAATTTACTTTCTGAATACTATGTATAGAGCTAAAGTTTATTTTAAGAAGTTAATAATCTTTTTATAAGCTTTTAATTTGTACTAAATTTATAAATTGATAAAATATTCAATCATAATATGCTTTTCATTTCATACATTTAGATCAAGTGCTGCTTGTTCGAAAATATTAACTAAAAGTAAAAGTGACAACCCTGGGGATCAACGCAAGAGTAGGCTAATAACTCGGCGGGCGGCCTTAGATAACCTACTGTGTTCTTTATACTATGCCATTGATCAACAAAAGGTTTAGGTACTTATAATTTAATTTGGATACATTTAGTATTCAATATATAGGGATGATACCGTTTTGGTACCACAAAGATGAAATTAGAAGTTAAGTGTTAATAGATTAAAATTAGAAACATTTTGTAGCTCCTTATCTGGTTATAATACATAGTTTGATCACTTTATATTATGTATTGTCGTTTAAATACGGTATGTTAAATGTATGTATCCTTCATAGATATTTTAAGTCAAGGTAATAACTCCATACAAATTCCAGTATCATTTGTGGTTATCATTTACATTACTATTTGTTATTAAACTGTCAAACACCAAGCGGTCACCGGTGACCGCAACCTATTGTTCTTTAATTGTGTCTATAAATACGGTACTCGACGAGTTAATTAATTATTATTGCCTAAAAATGATTTAACCCGTCGTGTGTCTCAACGTGGATCCACGCGAGGCACGATGTATTTTCTATTGTGTCTTATATCGGTGCATTCAAGCAGTTAATAATCAATAAGACAAATAAAATCACGCCCTTCATGTAAGAAAAATAATATGGATCCCATAAAATTATTAGACGTGTATATTATATCTAAACCTGAGAATATCTTAACGTCTCGTTCATTGATGTTAATGATTTGACGATATACTTTATTTTAATATTTTTCTAGCAAATTTTTTCCATACAAAATTCTTAGGTAATATTGTATTTGACGTTTCGATAAAAGTATTGAATTTGATTTGTCATCTCCCATAATAGCCGAGGTAGCCCTAGCATCACTGGGTACGTTAAACAAAATGGCGGATTTTGGATGCCATATTGCAACGTCAATTTTTTTGTGTCGGGACATTTAGTATCATAAAACCAAAAAAGGTAGTAGGTAGATTCATAACTAACAAAAAGAACGACTACGGAATAAGGCGAAGGGCTTTTTAACCCATTTGGGCCCGCCGTCCCCATATGGGGACAGGTTTTCTTTTACCCGCTGGTTATTAATTATTTTAGCTATCTTCACATTTCATGGGTATTTATAATGAGGAGTAGTGTACTTTCCTAAAATTATTAGAACTTTTGACAAATTGCTACAAAAAAGGGGTTATATTGTCAATTTTATCAAGAGGAAGTGAAATGGGAATTATTATCGAAAGCAGAGGCGTTTTGTAGTACGTTATTATGAAGATTTATAAAACTTTTTTGTGATTATTGCTTGCTTATAGTGTCAATTAAAACAGTATTGAAGAATATCCTTATACTTTCAATTCCGCTTAGGGGAAACTTAGAAAAAATGATGGTGTCCCCGTATGGGCACAATGGGCACATCTGTAGTATATTTTTAAAACATTTATACCTGATTTATATTTTGTTTTCCAATTTATAAAGGTCACCTTTAGGCTAAACTTAGTTATAGCTAATACTTGGTGACAACAGACGCTAATTCACGAAGAGCATCACCAATTCCGCCATATCTTTACGCGTTCATATTCTAAAATCTGATGGGCATCAAGACCGAAGATGCAAAAGTCCACCTACAGTACCAGGCGTCGCATCCGATATCAGAATTCAGCAGTAGGGGGCATTCTTCCTCCAGCTGTATTCTGGTGTCGTCACAGCGAAGTCCACCCAGAGGATAGAGTAGCATTATGCCCTGTATACGTTGACCACCGCCGTGTCTTCAGGGAAGTGATCGACGACGATAATCTTCCACGTCCAGCTTAGGTTCTGGCTGTGGTGCGGAGCGAGGGGAACTGGAAAACATCTCTTTCTGCGAAGCAGTCATAGTAGCAAGAACAGATCGCCTGATAGAACCAGACCTGTACCTGTAAGGCGCGTGGCGTTACGCGCGTGCTTCAAAGTGCAGATCAGACCGCCCTAGATCGAGATGGCTCAGTGGGACAGATGCCCGACCACTGTGAATAACCTGGCGGGTTACCGGGGCTTCGGCTTGAAGCAGAATTATGAATGTGTTGGTTTTTAGCCAGTAAGAGTCCCCCAGGTGGAAAAAGCAATGCATGATTTTTACCCACAAAAAAAATATAGGCGCGTCACATCAAATTGATTTAGACATTTTCCGCAGAGATTTAGTTAATATCTGTTACGACACGCAGTTCGTCATAATAAAACTGTGATATCAATGCAAATAATGTGTTAGAACCTTATGTGTCGAAAACAGTTACTACTTCGAAAAGTACTACACATGAGACCGTTGTCCCCAATCAAGGACGGCATTTTTTTTAATACTTCTAAATATATTTTTTGAATTTTTTTTGCTGATATTAGTTTGTGGGCGTCATATCATTGAGTTAATAAAGTTTTTTTTATTAAATTATGTGTAGTTTACATTTGGTCCCAAATGGGTTAAAATAGATATAGCAAAAACAATTTCGTAACGATGATAGTTGACAACAGAACGAATAGAAAACGCAGTGTTTGGACACATCGGTACTTCTAATCCATGTTTAAATGTCATTAAATAACATTACTTCAATTTAACATTTTCTATCCTGTGACTTTAGCCAAACGCCACTTTAGCGCTTGTCTACAGAGATAGTAGAAAACTAAATGTATGGGGATGACACTGACAAGTGTCAAAATTTACGTCAATTCCATGTAATTTGATTTTCTATTCTACATGTAGACAAGCGCTAAGTGTCATTTGGTTGCAGCTACTGAATACAAACTTAATCTTCAAAATAACCGAAGCACACGAGTATAACACGAAAAGGACAAAAAATATGGGTAACGTATGCAAAATCAGTTTAGGTGTACCCTGAATGTGCGGTTTGGAAGTAAATGTCAATTTATTTAATTTTGAAATATATCCTACAATACCTAAGGTTTGGCGGGGTACTCAAAATCTGTTATCTAAAGTTTGTTTTCTACTTAATGTCGATATTTTTATCCTTTTGGTAGGGGAAGTTATTAAAATTTCACGGAATATCTCATCGTAAACCGCGGTTATGTATACGTATCTGCATGAAATTATCAATTCCATTCCTATGTGTTTAATATATGTATCGAATTCGAATCACACACACTAACAAACATTATAGTTTTACAGAAGGTTAGGCACATAGTCATTCAGGAGGTTACTAAAACACACAGAGTTAATTACAGGGTGCAAGTATAAATTATGGGGCCGCCGCCAGCCACAGTGAATTTTCATTTCTTAAGGTGCCACTAATGTATTGATTTCACTGCACTCCAACACTAAACACTCACTGACACAATTTTCAACACTGCACATCTCACTTCTCCGAGAAATTCCGCACTGCAATCCAATTGATTCACTGCAATCCTTAATTAACAACGAAGGCTGTCACCATCAATGGCGGCGGCGGCGGCGGCACCGTAATTGTGCATGAACGTAGGTTTAACATGCCACTTACAGATACCATAAAAAGCACATTTAATTATCTACAATTGCTTCATAAGAAAACATAAGCACCTAACAGTCGACGATTATATTATTGGTTTAAAAAAGTAATATAATATATATATATGCCAAGCAAACATGTCGGTACATCATAGGCATAGATCCACTTTATCATAATATTACTTAATTCAATGTTGTTTCGTAATTTCAATTAAAAATTATTTGGTTAATTTATTAAAGACTAAAAATAATTTAAGTTAATGGAAAAATACAGTGGATTTAAACCATTGTGTGATCACTTCAAGTATAAAATAATCTAAATTATTCAAAACTACTCAATATTTTTTCTCAATCTAATTACTTATTTTTCAATAAACATGGTTGTGTTAATACATCCTGACTAAGCCTGGAAGGAGGATTTACCAATTAATTTAATTTATATACAAAAAATGATCACTGTTAAAATAAAGCCTATTAAAACTTGTACTCACGACAGGTGGTAGCGTGACACGGAAGCGGGAGCAGGGGTAGAATTCACGGAGGACGAAGAACCTGAGTAGCCAGAACCGGCAGGGGATGAGCCGGCTGAGGGTGCACCCGCTGCAGAGGGTATCGCAGCTGGCTCATAATACTCGGTGGTAAGCGTGCGTTCGTCCAGCACGAGTTCCGTATTATGTGCCTTTGATGCAGACTTAATGTCCATAAAGGCAACTGTGGCACAGACGCCACTGGCACCTCCGGCATTGACACCAGTGGTAATGTTGTCTGCCCGACCCAACAATTTGACATTCTGGACTCGGCCATAGCTGTGAAAAGAAAAACACTTTGACATATCAATAATCTAATTTTAATAACTTCCACCATGTATTTAACACAATTTATTCCAATTTTTACGCGTTATAACTCAACACATTTCTATATTTTATTATTTTACGGTAAGTACTAGTACAACTAAGTGATTTTATTATAATTAATAACGAAATAAAGACATGAAATAATGAAAATTCATTAAAATAAAATATCCAACAACACAGCTGTTTCATAAATATCATAAGTTTGTACTCAAAGAGTTACGATTATAGCTACACATTTTCGACAAAATTAATCAGAGAGAATCGTCAATAAAATGAAATTATAATGTGTAAACCAAATGTAAATAACATTTAAACATTGTTTCGTGATTTGACATAAGATAAATTGATGATAAAGGTAGGACTTCACGAAGAATTTTCTAAAAATCGAAATTAAAGAACTAATAAGCTAATTGATCACTGTAAGTTGCGCTTCCCGACCATATTTGTATTTGAATTGTTGTCAAGGTGTATCCAAATCTAATTGAACGTTTATAATCATAATAATCAATAGCAAGTATCTGTTAGGCCAGAATTTGGTGACTGATATATAAATAAGAATATTAGGCGACCCATTCTACACGACAGTTTAGATCTTTAAATTTTCTTGTGGATCCTTTTCCAGGTAGTTTTTTTTGTCATAATCCATAATCTGAAGAGACTCATATTATTATTGCCTTACATAGCGAGATACATCATTCCTACATTTGCAGTGGAGTTATTTAGTAACGAATAATTGTTACATAAACATGGCAGGATAACACATTGGAAGATTAGATTTTTGATAGTTTACCTACATGTCCATAAAGGACAATGATAAAAACATCCTCTCTCTTGTAGTTCTGTGAGACTTGTGTCAATCGAAAGACAAAAATGTGTAAAATGAACCAAACTGCAATGTCTGCCAGAAAAAGGTTACACGGTCTTGAAGATACCAGAGTGCCCAGTATGATTTTGGGATCGACAAGTATGATGTTATCGGCGTTAAGACTGGACCTTTGATTGGCTGCAACTTTACCTAAAAATAATTCGCATTTAGCACTTATAACCATGCCCTTTAACATTTATGACTGCGCACATAGGTGCACAGGTCTCACTGCTACAGGTCTCAGTAGAACCTCGCTTGTGGAGACCTGTCTATTACGACTGGGTGCTGAGGAGGTTCCCGTCGGTTGTCTACAAATACCCTGCCACTGGGCGTCGTCTCTGCATGATATTCCTTTTGATAATTGATACTTTTAGATATCTTTTCGATCTGGGAAACGAACCCAAAACACCTTGCTTAGTAGTCACAGCTATGTATGTCATTGCTTATGTCGCAGCTATTACAATTGTATGATTTTCAAGGTTAAGTACCTATGTCAATAAGAATGTGAGATGGTAACAAAATCTCGTATCTTCAAGTCGATGGAACTTTTTCTGAAAGGTATTTCAGTTTCATTGTCATACATAAGGTGGTGACGGCCCTTCTATTCTATTGTCATAAGTTTCAAAATGCTACTATGGCAGGGTCCATTATACATTTTTGAGCAACAATTGTCCTTTTATCCACAAGAAACATCCAAGTCCAGACCATCCAAACAATGGTTTGCTATTCAGTAGAACATTATTATTATTAATATAAATTAATTAATTTAATTGCCTCTTTGTACCAAATCATAATATTATGGTTCTCAAATGTATTGAGTTTCAACTTATCAAAAATGTAGCGTTGACAAGTTTTGTGTTTTTGGCCAGTTCTCGTGTTTTAATTATTTCAAAATATAACCAGTAGCATATTATCAACGATTTTTAAATAGTTTAGGAATCTAGCACGTCATATAAACTAGAGAAAACGCGTGGGCAGGGTTCATGAACGTATACCTTTCAGAAGACAGGTTCAACTTAGTTATTATTTTGTTTGAAAGCAGTTGTAGTCTAGGTGCACACATAATAAATCAGAACATTGCAACATAACATTCAACATTTAAGAATTCGTTCGTAACCTCTACGTAAGAACTAGGTATGAGATAAACTGTAATTTGTAAAATTCTTTTACAATTTACTGTTTTTGTAATGTATGGAGTGCATTTGCATGCACTACTAGGAAAGTGGTATGGTAACGAGTGCATATTAAAAACATTATCTATTTTACTAATGTAAAACACTGTAAGCTGTTTTTATTAGGTATTAATGAGGTATTTAATATGAAAATATTATGCTAAAGCAAATGAAAACTACAATAATTGTACTGTTTACATAATATATATAGCAACACAACACATCTATACGTACGTATATACGGACACATGAATAACCACAAATATTGAAACAATAATTAATAATGTAAAATACATAATTAGGTAGGTATTAAACTTTAATGCTCTGAAAATTAAACTGTCCTGTGCACATTGTTCATTAGTCATCACATCACTAACAAATTATTAATATGAAACAGTAGTTATTTAAGTAGATATGAATCAGGTATAGTTAAATAATATAATTATTACAAATTTATTTGGGACAGGGAATGAAATAAGCACAAGCACCACGAAGACGGGATCTCTTTCGCCATATGAAAATTAGTTACCACAGTAAATCGAATTTTTGAATTCTGAGTCACTTAGTAATAATAAATCTAATTTAAGTACCATGTGTAGTTATAGGTACGTCCAGCCATTTCAATTACTAAGTATCTTTGTAGAATGCTATAAGTTGCTCTGATAAACATTATTATTATTGCAACACAATACCTACTATGTTCGTAAGTAGATTTAGACAAGATATTAAGAAATCTGATTTTAACATGGAAGCCAAAATCTGTATTTCAAGGCAATGTGTGTGGGATTTGGGAGATTGGATAATTTGTGAAAAAGTAACAGAGATAATAGAGATACATTACAAAGTAACGGTAGAAGGGATAAAATAGACACGGACATAACAGACGAGTTTCTGATCATGTAATTATTTTATTATTATAACGTAATTAGTAAATAAGCCATGTTACCTGTTTTCGTCAGTCAAACATTTGAATTGGCATTATGAAGAAGCAACTTTATTTAAAAATAAACAACTAACCGGACGAGCAGCGGTGCGCGTCAGCATTACACGAGAGCGAGCAGGCCAGAAGCTATAAAACGCGTTGTTGCCGTTCTGATCACAGTTCACAATAGGTGTATAAAAGATAAGCGTCGTTGCCATACCGCCGTGCCGCGCCGCCGCGCCGTTTGCCTCCCCATTCTCTCTATCATGTAGTTGCGAGCGAATGCTGTTCGTTTTATGTATACGTATTGAATAAAGCTGTTTATTATTTCATCATGCTTGTTTTTTACGTAGATTACAAAATGTAAATTTTTCATACTCTAAATTCTGTTATTTTCCCTATTCCGAAATAACGCAATCAAATTAGCTAGCCAACATCGTGATTTTATTTATTGTTTAAATTAAATGTAGGTTCATTCAATTATTGAGACGGACCTAAGTAACTGGTTTAAACAGTCTTAATATTGGTATTTATATATGAACTACTAATTAATTAAGTTAGGAAGGTGTCCACGTAAGGAATTTTATATTATTACTTATTTTTATTCTTATTAAATGACGTTTGTATGAGCTAAGTTAAAACATTATACTTTTTCTTGTCATTCATAGGATACTGCTACTTTAAGCGACTGTTATTTTAAGCGTACGATTAATCTACACGCCTAAACTAGTCATACAAATTTTAAAAATAATATTCTTTGTATCGTATCTACCAAACCTTTATTCGGAAAAAAGTTACTATTATCTTTTGTGAAATTTATTCAAACACGATTAAATCGGTCGATGTCTGGTGCGACGTTGCCAGTTTTATGTTCTTACAACATGGCCGCACTCGCTGCCGAAGCCGGTTTCCGTGTGAAACTCAACTGAACACACAGCGCGTGTGTTTGTGTGAGCACACGCAGGCAAACGGACGGGGAGCGGAGGTGCGGGGTGTGCGACGAAGTAGCACTGTCGGGCGACTCAGGCAAGGAAAAATAAGTGTTGTGGAGCGGGGAGTGGGGGAGATACCGGGTCGGTGACGTCATCAACTTTCTGAATAGCTGCTACTTCAATCAGTCGTTGCGGTGACTTGTCTTTTGTATTTTTTTTTGTTTACGAGATTAATAGGACTAAATTTAAATGCTTTACGTTTATGGAATATAGTTTCTTTTATATTTTTGTTAGTTAATTTGTTTATTTCACGGAAAGAAGTTTAATATCTAGACCATAATAATATAGGTAATTTGTTTTCTACGTACTAATTTAATACTGTTTAAAGATTAAACAACAAAAAACAATGTTTATATTTTAGTCCAATGAATGATCATAATATTCAGAAGTTTAGGTAGCTACCTCTAAATATGATTTCTAGCTAGTAAATCTTCTGCTATGTTGGCTTTTCCCTAACGGTAAGGAATGCTAACATCTTAGAAAAACAAGTATTATCCATATCACTACCTATTCAAGTATTTTCTTTTAGCAGATAACTTTCTTTACTACTTAAATTCTGAGAATTTAGAGCACATTGTAGTCAAAGCTAAGTGCTCGTTCCAAAGTGTAGATTCGAATGGAGAAGAACGAGCAAGAACTTCCATCATTATTCTTTAAAAAAAATATGTTTCACAATCTTACTGATCCATTATCTAATCCAATATTGCACAAAATATGTAATGTGAGAACAATGTAGGTAGATGCCTATTTAAACTGTCAAACACCAAGCGGTCACCGGTGACCGCGACCTATTGTTCTTTAATTGTGTCTATAAAACCGGTACTCGACGAGTTAATATAACATTCATTTTTGGGTACTTTCCTATAATTAGTCTATGTTTCGATGTAACGGCCTAGCTCATTATCTGACTCAGTGTTAATACGGAAAATAGGTATAATCAGAAAATCGCAAAGAACAAAAACACTTTGTCCTGACCCAGGATTAGACCGATATCACTTGCA